TTGGAAGAAGTGCAGCCAGAGTGCTCCTTGGAGGCCAAGATGGCCAAACTTCGTCTCTCATACTTTAGACATATTGTTAGGAGGTACCAGTCGCTGGAGAAGGATATCATGTTTGGTAAGGTGGAGGGTCAGAGAAAAAAAGGAAGACCCCCAACGAGATGGAGATGGTAGCATCAATGGACTCAAGCATGGCAACAATCGTGACGTTGGCCCAGGATCGGGCAGTGTTTCGTTCTGCTGTGCATAAGGTCACTATGGGTCGGTACCGACCTGATGGCACCTAACAACAACAAAAATGAAGACTTGTGGAATCCTGGTGTGGTTGGTGTGGTACTGTGGCTTAATGAACTAGACTGCAAGGTCTGTTTGAACTGTAAGGTTGCCAGTTCAAGCCTACCAGCCACTCCTCGGAAACCCTATATAGGCTAATGAGTCAGAACTGACTCCACAGCACTTAACAACAACAATAAAGAATTGTACTCTAACACATTAGAACATCTAAAAGAAACAGATAAATTTCTAGAAACATTATCTACCTAAACTAACACAGATAAAAGCAGAAAACTTAAACAGGCCTATAACAAAAGAGAAATTTATCAGGTCACTAAAAATCTCCCAACAATAAAAGTTTCATACCCAGATAGCTTTACTGGTAAATTCTACCAGACATTCAGAAAAGAGCTGACACCAACTCTACTCAAACAATTATAGAATATAGAAAAGGATGGAAAACTCTTGAATTAATTTTATGAAGTAAGCATAATGCGGGTAACAAAACCAAGCAAAGACATCACAAAAAAAGGAAAATTATTTACCAACATCCCTTATGAAAACAGATCAAAATCTTTCAAAATCATAGCCAACAGAATTCAACAACATACCAAAAAAATAAAACATCATGACCAAGTGGGATCCACACCAAGTATGCAAAGATGATTCAGTATTAGAAAACCAATCAATGTAATTCACCATGAATAAAACAAAGGGAAAGAACCACATGATCATATGGATTGATGCAAAAAAGTCATTTGACAAAATCCAACACCCATCCTAATAAAAACACTCAACAAGCTTTACCCTTAGCATATAAGGATAGAGCTCTATTTTCAGATGATATATGATCCTATACATAAAAAACCTCCAAAGACTCATTATTCAAACTCACTGAAAAGTTCAGCAAAGCAGGCAGGGTATAAAATCAACATACAAAAATCAGTCAGATTCCTTTAAACTACTAAACAGAGCGCTGAAAAGGAAATCTGGAAAAATTGTTTCCAACTCATAGTGACTTTGTCTAAGATTTCTGAGGAATGAGTGGTTGGTGGATTTGAACTGCTGACATTGTGGTTAGCAGTCCAATATTTTTATCCTACAGTGCCACACCCAAAAGATGAAATACTGAGAAATAAATCTAACCAGAGAAACAAGAAAACTACAAACATTACAAGAAGAAATCAAAAGAGACCTACATAAATGGAAGAAAACCAATAGAAAAAAACCAAGACTATATATACCATGCACTTGGATAGGAATACTTAACATTGTGAAAAATGTGAATACTATCCAAAGTGATGTACAAATACAATGCAATCCCAATCCATACTCCAACATCATTCTTTAAAGAAATGGAAAAACTTATCACCAATTTTACATGGAAAAGAGAACTCACATAAGCAAAACATTACTAAAGAACAAAGTAGGAAGCCTTTCTCTTCCTGATAGTCAGTCTGGAAAATAATTGAGAATTGAGAATCCACTATAAATCTATCCACCTAAGTCAGCTGATCTTTGACAAAGGACCAAAACCCATTAAATGGGAAAACGATAGTCTCTTTAACAAATGGCAAAACTGGATATTCATTTGCCCAGGACATGAAACAAAACCTATATCCCACACCATATACAAACATGATCTCAAGATGGATCAAAGACCCAAATGTAAAACATAGAAGTATAAATGTAAAGATCTCCAATGAAAAAATAGAGATAAACTTAGGGGCTCTGATACATGGCATAAATACACTATCAAACATAACTGAAAACACACACACAGCAGAAGACAAACTGGGACCTCCTAAAAATCAGACACTTACGTGCATCACAAGATTTCACCAAAGGAATAAAAAGAGAACCCACAAACTGGGAAAAACTTTTTGGCAATGACACATCAGACAATTCTGTAAATTTCTCTACAATTTAAAGAAAACTTTAACACCTCAACAAGAAAAAGACGAATAATCCAATTTAAAAATGGGCAGATGACATGAAAAGACACCCTCATCAAAGAAGACATTCAGGAGGCTGGCCAACAAATATATGAAGAAATGTTCATGATAATTAGTTATTTGAGAAATGCAAATCAAAATGAGATACCATTTCACCCCAGCATTAATAGCAAAACTAAAACAACAACAACAACAAAACAAGTAACAAACGCCTAACATAGTCCACAAAGAAAATTTTCTAACTCCTACTTTGATAGGGTATCTACTGGGATTTTCAACTTCATGAGCGATTATATAAGGTGCAACTACTGGTCCCACCCTGTCCAGAGGAAAGAAGAGTGATGAAAATTGAAGACACTTGAAAACAATTAGTCCACCGGACTAATAAGCCACCTGAACATCTTTCTCCACCACCCTAAAACCTGAAAAACTAGAGATACCCAGTTATCACTATCAGTGGTTCTGAAAATGATCACATTAGAAGGCCCTGGATGGTGGCAGTTTACCATCGAGTTGGTTCTAATTCATAGTGACCCATATAGGGTTTCTCAGGTTGTAAATCTTAAATGGGAGTAAAGAGCCTCATCTTTCTCCCGCAGAGTGGCTGATAGCTTCAAACTACTGACCTTGTGGTTAGCAGGCCAGCTTGTAACCCACTATACTATCAGGGCTCCTTAGAAAGAAGGTCCTGGGTAGAGTGGGAGAAAATGTAGAACAATACTTTAAAAAAAAAAAAAAAAAAGATCAACTTACTGGTCAGACAGAAATTGGTGAAACCCTGAGATGGCCCTTGGTCACCCTTTAGGTCTGAAAGTGAACTCACCTCTATGGCTCAACTTCAGCCAAGCAACAGATAAGTAAAAAGGGAGGACAACAACTCTAGTAAGGTACACACACCATATAAGGATTAACCATTTAAATCAAAAGGGCAACATTTACCTAAGAACAATATTCAGAAGGGTTGGAAAAGAAGGAGAAATAAAAATAAGAAGCACAGGGAAGAAGTGAAATAATTATGTTACACTGAGCGGACCGTGTATGGTAAAACTAATGAACTGCTCTGTAAACATACACTCAATGTACAATAAAAAGTTTACAATTATTTAAAATGTGAGGATGGGAAAAAATGAATTAAATGCCAACCCTCAGTCAATAATGGTAGAATCTGTCCTATTTTGTAATACTCTTAGGAAAACAAATATTCTATTTTATTCAAGGTCTTCCTTATTTCACTCCCAAGATATTCTCTCCATGGTCTTATCTCTCTTTCTTGCTATAGATTATGTTCGCTAAGATGCCACATCAAATCATTTGTAGACTCTTGTCCAAATTTTCCCACCCTTCAAAGGATGACGTGGTATTAAGAAACTGAGCTGAGACTCTGCTTTACCTGCATGTCACTTTTGGCAGCTTTCACAGCACCAAAGAGATCATTGGATGGTGGCTCTGACTCTTTCTGGTGGTGACCTCGTGCCATTCGGGACCCCTTCTTTGGATGTTTTGCTACCTATGAAGTATAAAGATATCAGGCATATATATAAACAAAAAAGTGATACTAACCCATCATTATCATGTTGCTGTTGGAAAGTGATGTCAAGTTGATTCTGACTCATAGCAACCTTGTACAGGGTTTCTGAGGAGCAGCTGGTGGATTTGAACCACTGACCTTGTGCTTAGCAGTCCAGTGCTTTTCCCAAAGCACCACACCAGGTAGGCTTAAACTACCATTTCCATAGGAGAGTTTGATTCAGATATTAAATGATTTATTTTTATTTTGCTGTAAATTTGATCATCCCTAATTCTTTCTTCTTTTAAAAAGTCTCCTAACCCCATTCTTATTTCTCTATATCTTAATGCTCTCTCCTATTATTTTCAATTCAAAATTTACCTTCATACCACTTCTATCCCTTCACTTCCTTTAAATCTTGTCCTTTCATCAGCCACATTCCAGACCAGGTTTTTTTTAAAAAAAAAGACTGACTCACTGGACTTGTTCTGAGTGGTCGTTTTGCTGCTCTCTTCCTCTTCACATTGTGACTCAAGTTGGCTTCAAAGTCACTGCTTTCATCAGATGATAAAGAGTCACTATACCTATGAGGAAATATGTTTCTCTTTAACTACAACATATATTTCCTTGTATAAAAGTGTTAATAAGTTATCATTTCTTTCTGTCTTTATTTACACCATTTCTCCATAAAAAAACACATACTTTCAAATTTTTGATAAGATGAGCTTTCTATTAAAAAGGTGTCAGTAGTCTTAACAAAACAAAAAAATTCCTCTCGAACAAAGCAATGGAGGTGACGAAAAAAAACTGAAGTGGGTGAAGGACAACTCTTTCTTAATGTTTTCAGTAGGAAAATCAAATTATATTCACTTAAGCAGGCATGGCACTGTAGGATAAGCACTCGATTGCCAAGTCGGTTTGGACTGCAAGATCAGTGTTTCAAACTCACCAGCCACTTCTCAGAAACCCTATACACAAGGTCACTATGAGTTGGAACAACTCGACAACACTTAATAACAACAAGCAAGCAAGCAAGCATAGGGAGAAAAGTCAACAGGACTCAGATAGTTAAATACTACTCATACATGAGAGGGCTTCAAAAAGTTTGTGGAAAAATTCCCTTATCTTTCAATTCCATTTTCCCATAACTGTTTGAAGCCAACTTTGTATAAAAAAGATTAATATATACCTGGAGTTAAATTTTACTCTTTGGAACATAGCTACATCCTACTGATTAGAATGGCATTTAAAACACTGATATATATAATCTGGTCTCCAGCTGGAACAAAGGATTGAGGAGGCCAATAAAAATGCCCAGGGGATAAATTACAAACTCCCCAAATAAGAGAACCACAGGGCACTAACTAACTAAAAAGTATGCATGCAGGCCTTCAGGAAGTTTGTGGAAAAAATGGAACCGAAAATTAATGGAATTTTTCCACAAAAATTCTGAAGCCCTCCCTCCCCTCCTATACTATTTGTCAGGCAATGAGTAAAAAACTCTTTACCTTTGCTTTTCCAACCTTCCCTTCCCCTAGCAAAGTTTGTATGTTGTTGTTGTTAAGTGCCCTTCTGTCGATTCCGACCCATAGCAACCCTGTATCGGTCTCTAAAGAGCAGCTGGTGAGCCGACCTAACAGTTGCCATCTAAGGCATTAGTGCACAGCGCCACACCAGGACTCCAAGGATTGTACAGCCTGAGCATATACATGTGCCCAAGAAAAGTCTTCACAAGTTAGGCCACAGATTCCAAACTGGGATGTATTATTCTTGATGTTTACAACTGTCAGGGCAGTCAAACATAATGAATGCAGCTGGAGGGAATCACCGTTCCTATGGTCTCATAACATGGTAATTACTCAATGTAGTCAGAAGGCCTGGTGGTGCAGTGGGTACAGCGTTAAGTTACTAATGGCTGGACCCATCAGGCGTTCCACAGAAGACAGATGAGGAGGCTGTCTGCTCCTGTAAAGATTTACAGTCCAGGAAGCCCTGGGGAGCAGTTGGGTGCTGTCCACTGGCCGCTCGGAGTCAGCATCCACTGGGCAGTGGATGGGAAGGAGAGCTACGAAGGCTGCGGGCAGTAACGATTTCTCAAACTCCACTCACGCCTGGGATGCCTGCTCCCTGACCCTCTCATCAGCAGGCAGGGCGGCAGAGGGTCCGCCTTTTGGTGGAGACGAGGTCACACTGCTTGGGGAGGCGGAGGAGCGCAGGGTGGACATGCCGATCCAGATCCTGCTGAGCAGGGAGAGCGGGCAGCGCCCCCAAAACAGCAATCCCACGTCAGCCCTGCCGAGTCCCTTTCAGAATCGTTCCTGCTCTGCAGCGCTACAATAAAAACAGTAGCAGTAATAATAATAACAATAATAACAACAACAAGAACTCCAAGGTTCTGAAAGACAGCAACCTCTCCTCCCCCTGAAACTGAGCACTGGGCTCCCCCAGAGCACCCACAGTTTAAAACAGAGCCACCCCCAGGGGAGCTCCGGAAGGGGCACTCCCCACCCCCCATTCCAGACTTTCTGATCTCACAGGGGACCGAACGGGAACTTTCGTGATGACTTGGGGCGCTCGGGGAGCCAGGGAGAGGGGGTATTGGACTTGGGCCCGGAACGCTGAGACTCAAGGAAAGCCCTCTGTGGTTTTAGTTGACTCGGGGTTGCGGAGCCTTGGAGAGGCTGAGAAGTGGGGCCTAGCAGTCTTCCGGGACTGAGGCTCCGAGTCCGAGCATCTGAGGCAGTGAGGAGATAATCTAGTTCTCGGGGCCAGGAGTGTGGGGGCAAGTCAAAGAGGGGCCTCACTGTCTGAGCCCGGATCCTCGACTTCTGGCTACGCAAGGGTGAGGAAAGGTCACCGCCTCAGGTCTCTCGGGTCTCTGTAGTCATGCCACATCCGGAACCAGCGCCCGCCGCTTTCCTTCTAGTTGCCGCTGGAGTATCCGGAAAAACGCGGGAAGGCACGAGGCGCGCTGTACGCAGACGCCAACGGCTCTACCCGAGGCTCGAAACTGTCGCGAGGCTTGGGAATCTGCGAGCGCGTGTTCGCCACACTCCAGTCACAGCAGTCCCTCAGCCTCGTGCTACCACGAGCTCGCAGGCGTGCCGTCCTGTCACGTGGGCTTCCCCCCCTCCCCGCGCAGTCCAGCCCCGCCCCCTCGGACCGCTCCATTGGCTGGACTATGGACCAGACTAATAGGAAACCCTTCAATCTGATTGCTCTACTGCCATAGGTCCGGGGTCCACCCAGACCCCGCCTCCCAATCAAGATGGCCACGCCCCTGAGAAAGAGCACCCTCCTACCTCGCCTACCTCCTTACTTCGGTTCTGTCCCGCCTCCCTGCCGAGCTTCCCCACTACATTGGCTTAATTTCTCTCTCGACCCCGCCCTCGAGGCCAGTTCTTTGTCACCATTGGTGAGGCCCCACCTCGAGCCCCTCCTCCTGTCCGGCTCCCCGCTCCCATTGTCTCGGCAGATGCCGCTTGGTCCATCTCTAGTGCTCTGTGTTCAGTTTTGGGTGGTCGCGCTCTTTCTTTGGACGGCGGAACGGTCCCGCCGCAGAGAACCGAATTCCCGAAGCGGGCATCTCTTCTTACCTCCTCTGGACCCACTTTTCCGTCCCAGGACTGCTGCGGCGATGTCCGCGCTGCGCTCTCTCTTGCTTCTGCTGCTGCCTCTGTGTCCAGGTCCTGGCCCCGGACCCGGGAGCGAGGCAAAGGTCACTCGGAGTTGCGCTGAGACCCGGCAGGTGCTTGGGGCTCGGGGATATAGCTTAAGCTTACTCCCTCCCGCTCTGATCTCAGGTGAGGAGAAAGAAGACTAGAAAATTGGGGAGCTGGGGGGAAGGCAGGGGTGGGTCCTCCACGTCTCACAATAACTCTCTTCCCTTTCAGAATGACCGGTAAAAATCTCATCTGATAGTAACCTTTCTTTCTCATGTAACTTTATTACCAGGATCACAATGACCCGCCTGTTCACATAATAGCTCTCTTACTCCATCCCACTCCAGGAACCAGAACCCCTTTTTAGTAATTAGCAACACCCCCTTCAGCCCAATAAATCTCACCCCCCCCCGTCCCCCTCCCCCCGCCGTCTTCAAGAAGCCTTTCTATGATAATACTTTTTTGTTCACGGTGTAACCCCATCACTACAAAGCCCACTCTTCATCCTATAGAAGCTGTCTTATGAGTGAGTCCCTAGAGGCCTGGGGTGTGCCCTGTTGGGGAGGGTCACCTGGTTTGGCCCTCAGGGCAGTGGTAAAACAGAAGATCCCTTGGCTAGTGGGAGTGGGCTTGGGATGGGTGCGGCAACAATAAGGAGGGGATAGGGTCAGGTGAGGATGATGGGACAGACAATAGGAAGAGACCAGACAGGTGGAAGGGAAGGGAAAGCCCCCAGAGACAGGTGGGAGAAGGAGGAATTCTACCCTATTACTTCCCAGTGTTTCAATGTGCCTCCTCTGTCCAGGTGAGCACCTCCGCGTCTGTCCCCAGGAGTACACTTGCTGTTCCAGTGAGACAGAGCAGAGGCTGACCCGCGAGACTGAGGACACCTTCCGAGGCTTAGTAGAGGAGAGTGGCTCCTTCCTGGTCCACACACTGGCAGCTCGGCACAGAAAATTTGATGGTGAGGACCAGGAATTCCCAAACTTGGCCTCAAACCTCTCTGTGCTCAGGACCCCAGCAAGCATCCTAGCCCTACCCGACCCTTCCTGGCCAGGACTTAGCCCCCATCATCACCCCAGCCTTTCTCCAGGGCCCTGTACCCTCATTCCTAGTCTGGCCAGGTCTCTGAGAGTTGCTCAGTTTCTAATTCACTTGTCTTTTTTCTCCCCTACCCCGTTTCCTCCTGTCTGCCCCTTCACTTTTCCATCCTTCTCTGGCCTTGTCCCGCCTCACACCCCTTCCTTACATCTGCCACAGAGTTTTTTCGGGAGCTGCTCTCTGCGTCGGAGCGCTCCCTGGCCCAGCTCTTCTCTCGCTCCTACGGCCGCCTGTATGCCCAGCACGCCCCCATTTTCAGTGGCCTGTTCTCTCGGCTGCGGGGCCACTATGGGGTGGCGAGCGGGGGGTTGGATGACACCCTGGCTGATTTCTGGGCGCAGCTCCTGGAGAGAGCGTTCCCTCTGCTGCACCCCCAGTATAGCTTCCCCCCTGACTACCTGCTCTGCCTCACACGCCTCGCCTCCACTGCTGATGGCTCTCTGCAGCCCTTTGGGGACTCACCCCGCCGCCTCCGCCTGCAGGTGAGGGGCCCCAAGACCTGAGCTTCAGCTCCCTCTGACCTCCCTTCTGTGTCCTAGTCCCACTGACCTGGTGACTCCCCTCCCATTCTGCATCGCAGCCACCTCTGACCTCATGTACCCCCTCCTGAGCCCCAGTCACCCCTGTCTGACCCAATGCTCCGTAGTCTTCTTCAGTCAGATGCCTCTCACCTCTATTCTGTGCCCTTGTCATACACATCACTGACCCACTCACCAGCCCGGCCCTCAACCATCTTAACATCAACTCCCCCTTAAAGCTAACACTTCCTCTGGTTCACCTAAACATGAAGCTGTTGTTGAGTGCCGTCAAATCAGTTCTGACTCACAGCGACCCTGATAGGGTTTCTAAGGAGCAGCTGGTGGGTTTGGACTGTTGACCTTGTGTTTCACATTCCAGTGCTGATCCCACAGCACCACACCAGGACTCCAAACATGAAGTGGGCAGTCTGAGGCTCCCAGAGGTTAAGGTTTCACAAATAGTGGTGCTACACAGATATGTGCATCACACTAAAGTCTTCAAGTTCAGCATTTGTTCTGATACAGTATGTCTGTTATCTCTAAGCCCTCTATAATATAACCTCTTCCCAAACTTAGTTCCTTTTGATCCTTCTAGACTAATTCCTGTGTGCTTCTCAAACCTGCTTCCCTATATAAACCAACAATCCTAATCCACTCCACCTCCTAGGTAACCCCACAAACCTAATCCATGATGCTCATCCTGTTGGTGCTGTTTCTTGGTCTCAGTCTTGACTGACCCACAATTCCCCTGTGGTTTTTCTCGCCTTCTCTCCCCGTCTCCAGATAACTCGTGCCCTGGTGGCTGCCCGTGCCCTTATCCAGGGCCTGGCAACCGGAAGAGATGTGGTCAACACAGCACTTAAGGTTAGCGGGGGCTGGAGCATGGACAAGGTGAGGGGGAGAGAGGTAGAAGTTGGGAAAGGCTGCATAAGGAAGAGTCGCGTACCAGCTAGCTAGAGAGGCCTCCAGGCCTTGGTGTCCCAGGGTAATTCAAAGAGGAAGGACGGTTGGAGTGGAGTGTCCTTTGAGTCAAGATCCATGACCTCTGACTTTCTTCTGCCCTTTGATGACTCATCCTTGCCACTCTTCCTCCCTGGTGTTCCCTGGACCTCTCCATTGCTCCCCCTTCCCTGCTGCTGAAGGCCAGATTCCTTCCTTGGCCTTCAAGGTCACCCCCTCCACTATCCATCTTCTCTTGAACCTTCCAGCCTTCCCTCTTGTTACTTCCTGTATAAGCTTTCCCCTCTTGCCAGTCAGACCTCCTCCTTGGGCACGAAGGGGCTCACTCTTGTCCAGGAACCTTATTTCACCCCACTCCCACCTCTCTGTGAAGCAACCTCTATGGCCTCTAGGACTCCCCACCTCAGAGCTGTGGCAATCTTGTGGTCCTTTCTGTCACCATATGGGTCACTCACCCTAGACTCTCCCTGATGTTCAGCTCTCTGCAAGACCAGGAGCCTAGGGAAGGTGGGCCAGTATGTTTGACTTTGCTCTATGCCCAACTGCAAGCTTGGCTGAGGACAGCCACAGTGTTTATGGATGGCACCACCATGCTCTCTGTCCCCAGGTGTCAGTGTCTGAAGGCTGCAGCCGGGCTGTCATGCGTCTGACTGGCTGCCCCCTTTGTCGAGGGGTCCCTTCTCTTCCCCCTTGCCGGGGCTTCTGCCTCAATGTGGCCCGTGGCTGCCTCAGCGGCGGGGGACTGGAGCCTGACTGGGAGGACTATTTAGGTGAGGGTCCTGAAAGCCTGAGAGGAAGTAAGGCGGGGGCTGTTTGCACAGGGGGTGGGTAGTAGTGGGTGGGGAGGGAATCTAAAGCCAGATTTTGCAGGGATTTCCTGGAGCTACAAGGGGAATTCTTCTCATCTGAGTTCCCTTCCACTCACCCCCTTACTGCTTTAAGGCCCGAGTAAGGAATTGTGGGAAAAGCCTAATTCAGTGTGTT